TACATATGCAGAAGCCATTCTGACTTTCTTATTTCAAACAGAATCTGGACATATTTCTACTTGCAGGCTGTAACAGACAATTTATCATATAAATTACATTTAAATACTCAAACTGGTGGTTATTTCCTTCTGAACACTTCCTTATTTATGTGACCCATGACTTTTGAACATTCCTAAGTATCATTCCAATAACAATTTATCTGAAATGAAAATTAAAAGATATGATGATTGGCCCATGGGACCTAACTTTCCAAACATTCTGTTCCTGTGTGCAGAATGTTGGATTTCTTCATACAAGTAGTCCTCCACTTGCAACTAATTATTTTTGCTACGTAAATGCAAATGCTAATTATTATATTATGTTGGAAGTTACAACGGCACTGAAAAAACTGTCTTGTGCCTGGTCCTTGCATTTATGACTGTTGCAGCATCTCCACAGGTCATGTGATCAAAATTTGGGCAGTTGGCAACCAGCAACCAGGGCCACATGTTTGCCATTTGGCTTCCGACAAGCAGTCAATGGGTGAAGCCAGTTTCACTTAATGACGGTGTAATTGTACTGTTTAACCACTACAGCAAAAAGGTTATGAAATTGGATGCGACTCACTTAACAACTGCATCACTGAGTGACAGAGATTCCAGTCCCAATGGTGGTCATAAGTCAAGGACTACCTGTAGTCTCTCGCTCAAATACTGAGCATAATCCTGCATAGCTTTTCCAAGATCTGATAAGTTGCTGATGTGCCTTTCTGTAACAGATAATGCCAAATCAACACAAAGACAACTGAGGTAGGAAGAAGTGGCTCCATTCATATGAGGAGATACAGGCTTTTGTCATTTCTTTGGGCCCAAGTTTTGCATATGCAGGGACTCATATCCTGGACATAAAGTGTTTCAACTTCTCTCAGAGTGCTGCTATAGGGCATTGCATGCCAAAATAACTAGGCAGTTTTTTCCCCTCATGCCATTCCTCTGCTGAATACCTAGTTCCCACATTTATGTCTAAGGATGTTTACCCATGTAGTAGGGCTGTATTACTACTACTCTTCTTATCTTTTCTACTATCTTCTCCTATTGGTTTCTTATATTTCTTTGTTGTTTGTATGTACACTGAGAGCTTATGCACCAGAGACAAATTCCTTATGTGTCCAATCACCCTTGGCCAATATAGAACTCTGTTCTGTTCTGTTCTGTTCTGTTCTGTTCTGTTCTACTCTACTCTACTCTACTCTACTCTACTCTACTCTACTCTACTCTA